TACAAACAAAAAATATGTTTATGATATTATTATGTAAGCAATGCTCGCTAGACAGATGTATTTTGTGGTTTTATTGTCACGGAGAACAAATTATGCGAGCCATGATATGTTATCGAATCTCATAATGTGATACACGTAGGTACTGGTGGCGCTCACGCGGCGTGAGCGCGGGGACTGCGAGCTTTTCGTGGTTTTGTAAATAATTGAGTCTTGCCGAGTAATTACTACTGACCTCGAAACGAGTACATTGTATATTCTAAGTATTTATATAAGTTTGCTGACTGGAAGTGTCGAGTGGCTGTCTCCTGCCGACCAGTGCCATAACACATGTACACGGGGCACCCACGCATCGATACTAAAGTTCCTCAATGTATGTTACTCGAACGCGTAATGTATCGCACGTCACTCGACTTCTTTTTATTTTATATAATTGTATAACGTTAGGCAGTCTAGGTACTTACATAGGCCAGTTTAGTGAGTAGTTTGACGAGCGACCTAAGTTGTAGTACAGTAAGATGGCAGCTTTATGACCTTGCGTTGTGTAATTGTGATTATTTTGTATTTTTTTTCGTTTTGTAAGTAGTAGTAATGTATGTTAGTAATACCCAGCGGTTGCAGAGCGTGGCGTGGCAGCTGTACCTCTAATACTTAGTGCAATATCATATAGTATCGCCTCCGGGCGGCTGCCGAAACTTGTGCCAAATGTTGTGATGTAGGGTACAGCGCACCCCGCGCTGCCCGCTAACTCTTTGTAATATTTTGCTCAAATCAAATTAGTATTTATCAAGAAGCGCAACAATACTGCAATGTTTTGGAACATATCTAATTGAGATTAACTGTTGAGTACAATTTTAAGTTTTAAGTGTTTTTACAAATAATAATTAATAATCTGATCACAATAATAATATATCTAAGTCTTTGTATTAATGAGGTAGAAATAGCCGCGATTGTAATTGAAATATAAATGTAAGATTAATGACTTGAAAATAAAAGTAATGAACTGTATTCCGAGTGTTTCATTTTGTGCGAGCTGCACAGCACTCGTATTGTCTACCATCCCGTCCTCCACTAAGTATAGCATATTATTTAAACTCTTAGTTTACTCGAGGTAAGAAAAGAGCTCTATGTGTCAAACACTAGCCGTTATAATAATTTCAGGTCCCGTGCCTACCTACTAGAGAGAATTTTAACAATGGCTAATAGCCAATCTGCCACCTACAACTGATCATGATTTATTTCATGCGCGCGATCATGAGAGAAGTACATGCTTAAAGTGATGTGAAAGCGCGTCCAATAAAAACGCACAGATATTAATCCTTGTTCGGATGAGTAATGTTCCTGTACGAAAATTGCAAACGCACGATGCGGATGGAAACGGTCTGTCTCAAGAGAGATAACCAAGTAATACGAAGTTTAATTATTCAAGGGAAAAATAGCAAATTTAGAGATAGAATCGCATTATGATTGCTAGCTACAACCTAAACACAACATCGTGAATCATTCTAGTAGGTTTAATGCTTAAGGTATAACGCTGATTACAAAATCAGAACAATAATTCTATCAGTAGCACTGACTATTTATTAGCGATAAAATTATTTGTAATTATATAATTATTTAGAAGAAAAAACTAGTTTAATTAGAATATATGACTGGAAGGCTGATATATTGTAGTATATTATGGTAGTCGATGGTGTATTTTTTTTTATGTAATTCGTCGGCAAACGAGCAGACGGATTACCTGATGGTAAGCAATCAGCGCCACCCATGGACACCCGCAACGGAGGAGTTACCAGTGCGTTGCCGACCTTTTAGTTATTAGGGATTTGGAGATATACGGATTGAGGAGGGATTGGGGGCGGGGAAGGATTGGGCCTCCGGTAACCTCACTCACACGGCGAAACACAACGCTGTGGTTGTTTCACGTCGGTCTTCTGTGAGGCCGTGGTATCACTCCGGTCGAGCCGACCCATTCGTGCCGAAGCATGGCTCTCCCACACTTAAATTAATTAGTATGATTAGTAATTATTGTGAGTAATTATTGTATGATTAGGTAATTAGGTATATAATAATGAAATTGGTTGTAGTGCTTATCGAATGAAGGCTTCAGTGTTGTCGTACCACCGATACATTAACATTTTGCAGGTATATATCGTAAGTCTTGGCCGTTCAATCAGTGATGTAATTTGACACTGGTATTCTTAAGAACGTTTACCTACTGGAAGTTCTTTTTTCAATTAAACTCTTACAGTACAGGGTACTTTAAGTGGGCGGCCTTTGGCCAGCAGTGGACGTTTTCCGGCTGAAGATGATGATGATGAGACCCTTACTGCCACTTTTGAACGCCAATCTAAATAATGGCAGACATACCCAATCTATCTCTATGTGTAGTTTGATAATTATTTCTTTATGACTTAAGTTGTAAATAGGTCAATGTCAGCAGCCTGTCCTCGCAAATGAAGGAGTTAGAGAGAGAAAGAAAGAGAATTAGAGAGAGGGGGAGAGAGAGTTAGAGAGAAGGGGAGAGAGAGTTAGAGAGAGGGGGAGAGAGAGTTAGAGAGAGGGGGAGAGAGAGTTAGAGAGAGGGGGAGGGAGAGTTAGAGAGAGGGGGAGGGAGAGTTAGAGAGAGGGGGAGAGAGAGTTAGAGAGAGGGGGAGTGAGAATTAGAGAGAGGGGGAGAGAAAGAAAGAGAGAGTTAGAGAGAGGGGGAGAGAGAGTTAGAGAGATGGGGAGAGAGAGTTAGAGAGAGGGGGAGAGAGAGTTAGAGAGAAATAGAGAGAGAGAGAGAGAGAGCAAAAATGCGGGCTTACGATGTCAGGTTCTACCTGATATCACGCAAGCGGTTGCGACAGTCGTTGCAAGAATCCGGCAGTTGGGACTCGAAGTGGCGCTCCACAAGTCGCATGTGTTTTCATGAACACGCCACATCCGGATGGATCCGTAATAACGGCAGGTGGGGTAGGTACCATTGGGGTCGGCAATGATGTACCTGGGTCTCGTCCTCGATAGCCGGTGGAACTTTACGATCTTCGGGGAGGCGGGCGGCGAACCTTTTTGCTGGATAACCGCAATGGGATCGGGAAGCGAAGGCCCTAGCGCGCGCCTCTGCCGCGCCCAATAAGTGGCGGAACGTGCTCCGGCGTCATCTCATGGCAGAGTGGAAGCGACGTCTGTCTCAACCTAGGGCCGGGCACCCTGTTATAGCAGTGGTAAGACCCCTCTTTGAAGAGTGTCTTGAGAGACGCTACGGCGTCCTCGCCTTCCGTCTGTCGCAGATGCCTACCGGGCAGCTTCGGTAGGTTTCTATTTCGGATCTGGCGGGAGGAAACGACCGAGCGTCGTCGTTGTTATTGTGAAGCAGTCATGCTTGCAAAGAAGGAAGCGGACCGCGTGAGGTAGCTATCCTCTTTCTCACGTCACATCTGCAGCAGTAGGTGACACTTCGAGAGTCGTCGTCGAGACGATCTCCGGCCACCGTAAGCGCGGGTTTAAGGACGGCGAGTAAGGGTACCAAGCTACTCGACCAGAACCGACGAACAGACCCGAGCGTAAGACGCGTAGCGTTTTGCACACGCCTCAAAGAGAAAATAGACCACCAATAGGGCGAATGTTCAGCCGAGGTTGCGGGGCACCGCGGGCTTGGCCCAGAGCAGGTTTTTTGTCAGTAAGAGTCTAACTCTCTCTCGCCCTACTCTGGGCGAGAAAAGTAATTTAATGATTTTGCTCTCTCAAAAAAACGAGGTCATTGATTTATATCGTAAAAATATGTGGACCGAGTAGACCAACCTGCGGAACACCGAATTTTATGAGTCAGTTTTACTTTACAGATTCCCTATTTTTAGCAAAAGAGACACTGCCTCTGAAACTCCAACACGCTGTTGTAAATCCAAATTGTCAGGCGAATATGATACTGTTTATACTTATATGCAATTTGTTACAAAAAATAGGTTTTATTCAATAATGCAACATCATTGGCCGATCGTTTTTAAGTTTGTCTTTGAGGCCACTATTATTAATGGAACAGACAATAGTTATCCAGGCAACAACAAGGAAATACTCCCGATTCCAAACTTACTATACGTTACCGGCTATATATGATCTTGTGAGCTGAGGTATTGTTATATTAATATGGCCTGGTCGTGGGGCACTATTTGAATTAATTCTATAATAATTGATGTAGGAAACTTCTACGAAAGTAGGGTGAAGATAATGAGAAGAGAAAATGAAATCTGTTAAATTGATGAGAGTATATCGAGTAGGTATTTTTGACGATTTGTTTTTCTCGACAAAGTGTTGACTGCGACTGTTAAGTTGTATGACAGATTGAGTTGTGTATCAACAAATATATATTTTCTGCGATTACCTTTTCTCTCTTCCATATGTTACTGGTTGTATTTTGGTTTCACCTGTGTAGTTAATTGTTCAAGTACTTACTGTATTTCGTGTTTATTATACGTTTGGTGTGAATGTCACGGTTCTTTCTGTAATTAAGATGAAGTTTGTCTTGATTATTGATGCATCTAGTAAGCCTTAGTAATCAATGATTATGATCCATCAATACAGGTACCTAATTGGCTTCCTTATTGCAGAACCGAGCCGTCGTGAGTCATAAATAAGTTCTAACTTGTCTGTGAAAATCGTTATTATTACCAACAATATCCATGGTACCAACTGTTTGTTTTTATCTCTGAGAGAACTGCTTCGATAGTGTAGCGGTATGTATTTCAGTGTTTACAAAGGAGGGTGAGTGTAGATCGCTCAACTAGAGCTTTATTTAAAAGGTACAGAAACAGACACCAGATTAAGCCATACATAATATTATCATGTTATGTATACACATATGACTTTTGCTTGGATAATAAGAACTTATTGAGGATTTCAAGACTAGGAGATAGAAATAAAAACACAAAAACATTTAGGTATCGTCTGTGTTGGAAACAGCTTTAGTTATTTATCTACACATGCGAGATTGATTGACATTATATTACATAGTTCACATTGGAGCGTGCGGCGCGTTTAGTAGAATTCGTCGTAGTGTGCGAGCGAGGCGGCGGAGTTCTTGACCTGGTCCTGTGCCAGGTACATGTCGGCCACCTGCGCCGCCGTCGTCGCCTGCTCCGGCCGCTTGTCCGGACGCACCCGGACAAACCTGCGCATGCGCACTGTGTACTCGACCACCCACTGCACGGATACACTGCGTATAGCAGCTGGACAACTGGCTACTTGACTACTAGTCAAATTCAATAATTAATAAAACAGCTAAAAACGACGTCATTTTGTTCACTTCGAACAAAAAAAAAATGTAATTATGTCGTTAAATCAAAGACATAATTTTTTTAATTGTTTTGATTTAGGACGTGTTAGCGAAGTGTCCCATTGTGCAATAGTTGGAGCTACTTTATTGGAAACATTATGGTTTAGCAAAGCAATAGAGAAAGATATCGTAGAGCAGAGCGTGAGTTAGGTACCTGGGGAAGCGCAGCGAGATGCCCTTGTCGGGCGCGACGCGTCCGATGGCGGCGCGATGCGCGGGCGACAGCGAGAGGTCGGCGGCGCGGACCTCCCAGACGGCGGCGGCGTCGAGCCAGACGTCGGGCGCGGCGCCGGCGCTGTAGTAGGCGCGCGGCGCGGCCAGCTGCAGCGGCCGCAGCTCGGCCGTGAGGTCGCGGAGCTGGTCGTCGCTGAAGCCGGTGCCCAGCTTGCACAGCGCCTGGTACTGCTCGCTGTCGGGGTCGCGGCACGCCAGCAGGAAGCCCCCGAACACGCCGGCGCGCTTGCCGCGCCCGAGGTACGCGCCGATCACCACCAGGTCCAGCGTGTCGCCCACTCCGTCCAGGTAGTCCTTCTTCAGCTGTGGAGAAGCGTTACACTGCAGTAGCGGGCGCAGCCGGTGGCCGGGCAGTGGGATCGGGTCGCTGCATACCTTGAGCCAGTTGTGTGAGCGGCGCGCGATATCGTACCGCGCTTGCTCTCCACTGAGCGCCTTCACCATGAGTCCCTCGCAGGAGTTCTTCACGGCTTCCTCCATGAACTGCTGCACCTCGTCCACCGTGGTACAGTCCCGACTGGTCGCAAACTGCCACTCGCCTGCGGTATCATACTCGTCGTTCATAGTTGCTCAAAAGTTATAAACAAAAATTAAACAGGATTTAGAAAATTAAGAAGTGTAAACTATGGGCACGTTCCCAGCTTATCTCTTAATCCGAGACTGTACAATAAGAAGCAGTGAGTGACCTGGAGTCTCCCGGAAGTGTTCCCGCAGCAAGGCCCGGCGCTCCAGCAGAGGGCGCTGCACGGTGGACTCCCCGTTGAGGTAGAGGAGGTCGAACACGAAGACACAGACCTGCACGCGGATGTCCTCCTCGCGCGCCTCCTTGCGCTTGCGCGTCGACAGCACCTGCACAGCCGCGCGCTACAGTCGCCGCCCAGCGGGACTACCGAGTACTACTGCCTCTACTGACTCAACATTACCTGGAAGGGCAGGATCTGCTTCTTCTCAGTGTCGTATGCGACAGCCTCGCAGTCGAGCACGCAGCTCGTCACCGACTCCTTAAGCAGCGCGGGCAGGCGGCGCAGGATGTCCGGGTACTTGCTGCGCCACCATACATGCAACATATTCCTCACTCACTACACCCGCCACGGAATAGAAAATACAGTGGAAGTGCCGCTCAGACATCGCGCGCTAACCAACATGATGAGTAGATATACAACATTTTGGCACATTTGTTGTCAGAATCGTTCGATCCGTTGTCATGGTTGTCTCTAAGAAACACGAAATATATTAGAAATTATGCCTTGTTGTGCGGTTTTCAACTGCAAAAAAGTAAGCAGAAAAAAAGATGAGTCTTGTGGTGGTGTATCGTATCATCTTTGAGTATTAACCTTTTTTAATTTGAAATATATTTGATTTTAATGTAAATATCACATTTCATTACTTCAATGCAAACTATAAAGGGCCTTATTTTCATTACAATTAAGTTTAAATCTACTTGTTCGTTATGTGACGTTATATACTATACATTCTAGTAGTTTCGACGCTACTCATTTAGGGATGCGACATATTCGTAAAATAGGTTCATATCGATAATTTTTCATCATCATCGTTCAGAAAATTGATTTTTGACAATTTTTGTGTATAATTCATGAATGTTTAACTAAGATTGCATAGACACATCAACGTTTTAACCACACACAGCGTGCATCCGTCTGTGGCAGGTGCGGGTGGTTAATCACCATTTATATTTTATAACTAGTTTTCGCCAGCGGCTTCGCCCGCGTGCTGTGTTGATAAAAAGCAGCAAATAGCAATAGAACAAAATCTAAGTATACATAAAATTTGGTATTTATCGTCTCATTTTAATGGGTACCCTATTACTTACTAAGTCTCCGCAGTCCGTCCGTCAATAGATAGAAAGGTACGGATCAAACTAATAGGTAAGAGTTACAAATATTTGATAAAACCTATATTATATTATATTTTATACCGCATCGTGTCGAGCACGGCAACTGCTACACAAAAATAATTCTTATACCATGATTCAGTGTTCACTTGCGACGGCGCTATGTCTTATTATCCGAATTGCTAAGCTATCAGGAGTTACACGTGCTATTGTGAGTTAACCATAAAAGATATGCTGTAAAACATTTTTTTAAACAATTTTATTTAAAATATTTCCGTCATACATAATTTCTGTGTAAGTTTAACCATTAAGGTTACACACGCGACTGAAACTTACAAAAAGGAGTAACTTCTCCCGTTTTCCCAACATTTTCCTTCACTGCTCTGCTCCTATTTTATTTGTAGCGTGATGAAAAGTATCCTATAACCTGCCCAGGAGTATAAAGAATAATTGTACCAAGTTTTGTTAAAATCCGTCGAGTAGTTTTTGTTTCTATAAAGAACATACAGACAGACAGACTGACAGACAGACAGACAGACAGACAGACAGACAGACAGACAGACAGACAGACAGACAGACAAACAGACAGACAGACAAAATTTTTACTGATTGCATTTTTGGCATCAGTATCGATCACTAATCACTTATTTTGAAAATATATTTAATGTACAGAATTGACCCCTCTACAGATTCATTATAAGTATAGATGTTGTACATGATTTTTATCAGAGTTCCAAAAAGGAGAGTGACTCTCAATTCGACTGTAACATTTTTTTGTTTTTTTCGTCGTTAAAATCGAAATCTTTAATAATAACTTGACCATCTCCAATAAACATTAAATCTTCAAAAAATATGTTAATATTTTTCTTTTTTTTTATTAGAACCTTTTTCATTACTGATCATTTGTAGGTATATCGTGTCGATAAATTATATTGCTCACACGAATACAAAAACATCGATATATTGGGATACCCTGCCTTATCTGAGTAGCAAAATAGTAAATGTCTATTGGTACAAGTGCATACAAACATGACATCTATTTCAAAGAACTTAGCGTTTTGAATAGAATGAATTTGTTACAGCGCCATCTAGCGTTGAGTGGCTGAACCCGTTTGTAAATTGTTTTATTTAAGTTTTTTACACGATAGACGCCTTTATTGATTGTGACATGTGAAATGATAACAACTTTCGCTCATTGTTATAAGACTCAATTTTTAACAACATTTAGAAGATGATTTGCTAAAGTTGCGTTTCATGTTTTTACCCAATTGTTGTTGTTTTTTATATGTGTAATGGACCTATTGATTTGCGAATGTGTGATTTTGGCGACACTGGTTTTCCTGTTGAAAGAGTGTAGGGGCACTTCTACGTAATTTTCTGTTCTGTGACACCCGCACTACGGCACTCTGCAGCTAATGAAATGTATATGAGTGAGTGCTCGCCTGGTGTTATTTTCCTGGTTCCTGCTGAAGACGGCTGCGCCCTGCAGGTCGGGCGCGGTGCCGTCGGCCCCGGCCGGCACGTGGATCTGGGCGCGCTCCCCGTCGTACTTCCACTCGCACGTGAACTGCTCGTCCTCGAACCTGCGCGGCCAGACAGGTCAGTATGTGTGCCTCGGTATATGTACGGGCTGGAGTTGGCGGCGACGTACCTGTCGAATATGTGCGAGACGTTCTTGCTGGGATGCGCCAGCATGGGCTTGAGCGGTATGCCGGGCTGCAGGCGCACGTGGTCCGCCAGCGCGGACGCGCCGTGCCGCAGCAGGGCCGCCAGCAGGCGCCCGTAGTGCGGGCACTGGCAGTACGCTGACTTGATGCTCAGCGCCTGCGACTCCACGCGCGCCTGTACACCCATACTGCTCTACATTCTGCTCAAATTTTACTTCAGGGAGGACGACATTTCATTCCAATTTCTTTGAGAACTGGATAACATACCAGCTCATCGAATGGGCAGAGCGAAAAAAAGATCGTAAGAGATGTCGACAACCTAGGAAACGTCACCGCACTGTCAGCTCGTCAACGGTACAGAGTTGTCCACGGACATTGTTAGCATGAACATGAAAAAGGATATTTGGTCGGAAGGGGTAATCTACTTAGAACAGTTTGAGGTCGGCTACCGAATACCGCGGACACCTGGCGCCATATCTCGTATGACCTTATTAAATAGTTATATTCTTGTGTTGAACGTGTATTTTTCCATATTTATGTATTAGATTTGAACAAATTGATATGAGTTAACAAGTTAAATAATAAAATATAACAGACACATGTTTTGTTTCACTATCATTATAATAAAAATATGTATACACACAGTACACAACTTTGCATCTAAGAACCATCCATCAACCATGAAACAAAGAAGTCAACACATGTTACCAGCTACACACTGAAGAACGGCCTAACTGCCACGAAATTAATTAGTCGATTAAACTAGCTGACCTTGAACTGTTCGGGCGACATGTTCTTTGAGGCGTCGAGCTCTGTGACACCGTCGGGGCCCGGCGGAGTCAGCACCGTGGCCACCGCCAGCGCCTGTAGCACTGACTGCTCCGCCAGACCGATGCGCAGCTTGCCTTCCAGTGACCTGCAAGTATTTATTACCCATAATGATATCATTGAAACTGTCACGTTACACCACTGCACACAGCAGTAATACGGAGTATGCCAGTACTTACCTTATAAGGTACCTGGCCTCCGAGTGTCTGCAAGCGACATATAGTGTCTGGATCTTGCTGATCTTTTTGTTCATGGAAGCCTGGCCTGGGGACGAACACCTTTGCATAATTTGGCTCACTACACAATTCTATAATTCAAAAAAAATAAATTCTATCTGAGATTTAACAGTTAGACTTCCGACTTAGAGGGCATACCAGTGGTGCGCGCGATGTCCTGTAGGGCGGCGAAGACCCCGCGCAGGGTGAGGGGCGGCGCGGGGAACATGGTGCGCTGCGCGGCGCGCGCGGCCTCGGCGACGCGGCCGAGGTCCCCCTCGCGCGCCACGCCCGCGCGGACCTGCGCCAGCGTGCGCCCCGTGCTGCCCGCCACGGCCTTCATGAGGTAGGTCTCGGCCACGCCCAGCTCCAGGCCCTCGTAGGCCGGCGCCAGCTGGTTCAGGCACATGTACACGCTGGCCAGCAGGTCCTCCGGCGTCAGCGCTATCACGGAGCGCAGGTAGTTGGCCAGTGTGTCGATGATCTTGAGGCGCGCCGAGGTGGCCTCCACCAGCTCCAGCGTCCGCGCCAGCGCCAGGTAGGGCACGGGCCGGCCGCGCGCCCAGCACGCGTCCCGCACGGGGTGGTAGCGCGCCTTGCTGGGGTCGTACTCCGCTTCTGCAATAATAATTACCCGTCAAGCGCTAAACGCGCGAGGCGCCACCCGCAGCCCGAGGTACTTACCTGGCACCAGCTGTTCCGGACTACTCAGCTCCAGGACATCGCCCTTCTCTTCCTTCACTGTACTCTCGTGTTTGGTGTCCTCTGTAGAATTCTCTTTCTTAATTTTTTTTGGTGAGGGACTCTTCTTGATCCCGTTGGGTTCTGTAAGTGGTTTCTTCTTTTTACTTTTAGGCGATTGGTATGTTTTAGGTGAAGACTTTTCAACTTTAATCTGTGGCTTTTTTGGTGAGGGGCTGGTGGCGGGCGCGGTGCCTGCTGGAGAGTGATCATTCTCTGATGAGGCCTCAGCTTCACTCCCTGAGCTTTCAATGCGTTGCCGTTTTACTTTCTTCTGTTTAAAAAACACAGGTATACAAATCATTTAAAATATTACACAACAACTATTTTCCTTAACAAATACTTCAACATACATATTATTTTAATTCTTTACAATAGGTTCACCACTTAGACAATGTCTAATACCATGATTTTATATTTAATGGTTTTTCCAATAAAAGTGGATCAAGTTAGAAAGATATTTTGCTTAAAGATGTCAAAATTTAGCAATATGTGGTGCATTATAAAGGAATTAAAGTATTAGTCACCACACACATATGTAGCACCACTATGTGATGCACAGTGTTCATACCTTAACTTTGCCATCTGTAGTGCTCTGCTGCTTCTTTTTGGGTGATGAGTCACTATCACTGCTCTCTAGGCGAGGTCGCTTTGATATCTACAATAAAAACTCATTATGTTTCACTTATTTGCAACACATGTATCTTTTTTTGTACACTGTTTAGAAACTAAAAATGTTCTTGTTTTATTCAAAGGTTTGGTCCCCAGTAGGTCACAATTTTATTTATTAATCTTAAAGTTTTCCTTGCTGCTGAACTCCAGTAAGTATAGGAACTGTAAATTTGCTTACCTTGGTATTATCAGGGCTGCTTGAGGAATCATCACCATTCACTATGCCATTGTCTTTATCAGATTTTTCTTCTTTGGCCACTTGCTTGGAGGGAGTTACTTTGAAAAAAGATGTGATGCTGCGCTGTGCCATAGTTCTGGTATTAACATATGGAAGGTTTGATGTCACACGGAGTGAATATGTAGGAATAGTTTTGGTTGCTCTTAGCTGTACTTGTAACGCTAGTCTACAGGGCACTAGCACTTTCACTAAAAATTTCATGAGTCACTTGATCTGCAGGCAATCTTTGGCTCCATCTGTTAGAGCTGGAATCTGGAGAAGAAAAGTTAGTACAATACATCAAGCTAAGATGCACTATCTTAAGCAACTTTTAAACAAAACAGAATACCTACTCATAATAAATATGGCAACTGATGCAATGGGCCTTTAAACCTTGTGCTAATCTTATCGTTTCAAATAGATTCTAAGCCAGTGTTGACAAAAAAACTGAACGGAAATATAATGCAATGCCAGTACTAAGAGACGTAAGTTGTACGTTCGCGAAAGTTGCATTTCTAGCTAGAAATGCACCTTTTCAGAAAATTTTCATTAATATAAACGGGTCGGCGAAATCATATTTCAATGCCTGTCTGTTTAATGTAAACAACGTGAAGATAGAAAGGTTGGTGCAGTTACCTGTTCAAATTGATTCATCTCAACATATTAATAATGAATGTTTTAATTTGCATGGAAGATAAGGGATAATATTTTTAAAATTAATAAACACACGTACATAAAACGCGCGAAACATCATTATTTGACATTATATTTGACGTTTGACAGTGACATATTATTTTGTTATGATTCACATTACAACATATTGTTCAGAAATTAAAAAAATCCTTTGAGTATTTTAGACGATAGGATATAACATTAAAGTGAAAGTTATAATAATAGTTAAAAGCAAACAAATAATTATTAAGGTACCTAATCAAATTATAATAGTCATTCTAAGAACTGATGCGATTATTGCCAATTCAAAAAATCTGCTTCCTTGTTTGGATACACATCCGAACAATATAGGTATTATGAAAATATATTGTTAAACAAAACTTATGATGGATATAAAAACATTTTTTTAAGGTCACTTAATTCTTTTCATACAAATTTAAATATTATCTTTATCAATTAATAGATTCAATTGACAGTGTATTCGAACAGGTTTTTTTTTATATTCTTCTTGTACTATTGTCAAAATAGGCATGCAAATATTCTACAAGCGGAATTGTTAAGTCTAAAGCATATGTAGTCCTTCTAAGTACATGTATTTAATTTTTATAAGTAATTATTGAAGTATGTTACAGTGTCTTATGGTGTCGTTTATATTTTTAAGTCTCTAATTTGAGTTTCAGTCTAGAGCTTATTTTGCTAAGATGGCTCCCTCTAGTTGCTGAAGTGTCAACTATACGCGTGTCGTCCATGTTCTGAATGTGGTGTGACTTATTTTTGTTTTGTGTTAATTTTCATTACGTTACAATAAATGTGAAATGCAACAGCATGTGTCATTCCATATAGTGGAACCTTGCTCCGGCTGAATGGATCCCGCCGTGGCGTGGTATCAGCCCGAGCAGGAAGGACCCGCGAAGCGCCTGTGGCTTCGTATCTGGGAAACTCAAAGTGATATAGACAAAATGAACTTAAAAAACTTAGAAAACGCTAACCCTAATGTGAATAAAGCACAGGACTTTATACCAATAAATGATGTGAACGGTGAAAGTAGGAATAATAATTATTTTAACCCCGCGCGGAGGAAAATGAACGATAACCGCGCATCGACGTTTAACCTGAACAAAAACCACGATGCTCTCATTGGTGAATACGGGGGTTGTCCGTGGCGGATACCCAACTATAACTATAAGCCAGGGATCTTAGGGTAAGTACAATTTTAATAATTTACTCTGGTGTAGGTTATCAATGTCAACGTGTTTGACGTGTTGGTTATGATGAGCGAGACGCACGCCGTGACACTCGTCACTGGCTGACAGGGCCGCCGTCGCCGCACTCGCCGCCGAGTCCGAACTTGCACATGTGATAGTTCATTGGTTTCCTGTTATACAATACTACTGTAATATAACGCATATAGGCCACTTGATAGCGATTGCCGAAAAGTTGGTCAGTGCGTATACTTAAGGGTGGAGTACAGGAGTTACCAAAATGAAGTGCACTCCTTCCTGACCTTAAAAGATATGTTTACCAATGCAATGGTCAGACCATTGCATTGGTAAACTTTTACATCTAATCTTAATCTTTGACAATGGCAATAAAGTGGAAAACTTTATAAGTTTTTATTTAACCATGTAGAAAAGAATGTCTGATAATTTATTAGTTAACATATTTGATATTTAATAATATCCATATTTGGTGAATATAAACAGAATAAAAAAACAAATAAATAATAAACCATTGAATAGCTCTGTATTATTGTTACAGAAATTAAAGTATAGTATTGTATTTGGTATTAGAATAAATGTTGCAGTTCCTTTCCTGAATTAGTTCATTAGTTGATGATACAGTCAATATAACATACTGTACAAAATAACATAACAAATGTAGCGTAAATATTTGATCTCTTATCACCTACAATAGCTGCGATAAAGCAGGCTAGGCAGCAAGGGCTGGGAAGACAAACTCAAAGCTATTAAAAAGTAACTTAAAGTTAACTATGTCAAATTCAAATGTAAAGTGTTAATGTGTATGAAAGGGGTCTCTGTCCAACTTGATCTAGTTTTTTTACATATAATTTTGACATGTAAAAGTGCTGTTTTATAGTTTATTTACAAAAATAAAGTCTTTCATATGTTTTTTTGAAGTGAGAGTTAAGTCAAGCTAAATATAATTAACACTTCCCTAAATTTTATTTGATGATTTTACTTGAATTTTAAACTTACACTGGAATGCAGATAAGAATGATATTGTAGTTATTAAAATGATATTGTGTGTTGATGTAATATCATCTAGTTACATCCCTTTGAATGAGATAATCACAAGCAATACAATGACACTACTATAAGTAAAACGTTCATTAAGTTTTAGGGAGGTAGTTATGTTTGAATAAATTTAGTATAGGAAGTATAATGATAGGATGATATAACACCAGTATTACATATTAATTGAATTTGTGATTGCTGACTCAATATCATACATATTTTGCTTCCAAAAGGTAAAACAGTGCTAAATGAGTTCACCGCTTCAGCACCTTTTAGATGAGCCTGTTGAGGCACCTGTCTCAACATCATATGATAATAACTTATACACATCATATATCTAACACACTTATACAGCATATACACAGAACTAAGGTATTTTTAAACAACAACAAGTTAATTAAAAATAAAGCTCTAGCTAAAATCTAAAAAAATAAATATCTATTTCTTCTCTTATTAACTGATAGATTACCCACCTGCAGAAGTCGGTATTTCAAGAAATAAACAAAATTGTTCATTTAAACTTTAAAATTTCTTCACAAGCTGTTGACAAATTTGTAACTGATTATTTACCATAACTAACCATTCAAGTTTTTGTCCTGTGACATAAACCTACACACCAATTTCTGATCTGTCAATATGCTTCTATCATGTCATTAATCCATCCTCAATCCTTTTAACCTATCATCATTACAGCTAATGGTTAAAAAAAAAATACTTTTGAATTTTTAGATTAAGTTAATTTTTAAGGTAAAGTTTAAAAAAAAAGCGTAAGTAGATCCTGCAAATTAATTTCTATTGGTATTAGGCAATATATTAATATTTCAATATAAGTGACCATCACTCTGGGCACAAGAAGACTAAGGAGGCGCCACCAGTGGCAGAAAAACTGAACTTGTATATTTATAAAGACAGTTCGAAGCAGAAAGTTTACAAAGACTCTTACTCATTTACTTTGTTTTTATACTTTATAATTTATTTATCCAATAATTACAACCCACAAGGATGTAATAAGTCATCAACACTAATTTTAAAGTTCAAACACAAGGTAGCTTCTTGTTTATATTTACTCTTATTAAAAAACTTTGCTCCACATTAAGATTTTTCTTCTGTTGTGGGTGTGTTTACAAACATGCAATTTTACATGCATAAACCCCCAGACTTGGAACAACAATTTGTAAATTGCACAAAGTGTTGTTTTGTGTGGGAATTAAACCCACGACACATTGCACAGGGGCCAGTTGCCCAGCCACTGTGCTAACTATGCGCTACTGTCAAAAATTGCATAGTTCCTTAGCTATCATACATGTTAATCATCAGATCCCTAATGACAGTTGCACACCAGGTGAAAAGTTCTCATTAATAAAATTACTTAATTATTAATTAATCAAATCTAAACCAAGATTGTTACTGTAAATCCTCAAGAAGTTCTCTCCACGTACAGTAGTCGGTCGCGCAGCCATTGCGCTATTCGTGCACTCACAATCGAAAATGACGTCACGGGAGATCTGGACCCCCAGCGTATGCGCACTCCTGACAAAATGGCGGACACGACACTCGCAACAATCTGAAACTAACTAAATTTTAGAAATATTAACATTCTAAGCGTTTAAGCGACAATCATATCAGCTAGCAAATCCAGAGAAGCAGTAAATAACCCGTTTAAGTAATTACTTAATTACAAATTGATTGAATAACTTAAGTCTATTTCAATTTGGCTCATTAGATTAAAGGTTAATATAGGTATGTACATAAAATAATCAGTTTCTCTAACTCTGGCAATGGCTAAGACGCAATGCTGAAATTAGGGATGTCCTAAATAAAAACATTAACCTGCCAATGATTATCTTTAAAAGTGACTTTGTTTGGTCATTTCATTAGTCAGCCAATACACATGTTGTTAAAGGTAATAATATGTGGAAGCTTGTTTAGCAACACGCCATTACCTACATCCTGTTTATTATTTTATTGCACTGATTTATCTGTAAGCTTTCTTTAAAGTCAAATAATTCTTCACGTTTGATTAAGTTGTATATACTTTAGTTTAATCATCTCATTATACAATCCTGAACTCGCAACTTCATATTGCCGACTTGCAAAATGTTCTAGAACTGATACCGGGACACAATCGTATAGTACGAGTGCCTGCTTTTAGTTATCTAGACGACAAAATATTTTTTTACCGGCAGGTAGTTGTCGTGTCTTTTGTTCAAAGCACACAGCCATAAAGTCTTGTGTAAAAATGAAACAAAGCCAAACAATAAGTCTGTACCTTATTACGTCAAAAAAGCGATGGGAGTAAAAAAGATTTTTTATTTTCTCTCAATACTTAAAATATTATGGATGTAACAAACACTAACAAAACAACAATTTCTTTTTAGTTAGCAATTGATTGATTCTTTAATGCCATAATTAGACTAAGACATGTCCGCTGCCATTGACGTGTTAGCGGTCGCCGCCGCTGATACATCGGCAACTAAGTTCTGCTCGTCTTTATATCAGCGATAAAGTGGAGAGGGATGGATGAGACGCTTGCCATCTATTCAGCCGTTTGTATCATTATAGGATTTTTTTTATAACTGTTATAAAAGAAATTATTCATACAGATTATAATAACATGTATTACTTTAATTTGAAAACACATTTGGGTTTTTTTGATAAAACATATCTTTGGCCTGTTTTCATTAGATAGGTAGTATCAGCAATAGCCCGTGCTGCCACTGACTCGAGCTACTGTAAGCCGCCTGACGACAGCACCACCCCTGCTTACTCTACAAAGCCAAAGTAAAAACATAATATTTCATCAAATATCCCGTACTTTTGAAACGAGTACAAGTATAAAGAAAAAAGCAATAAGAGTTAACTAGTTGACAGTGACACTGCACTTTTACTGTACTGTACTTTTAATCTATGAATGAACACGATTTGTTATGACCAATAGAGCCGAGTTTCGGTAGCAGTTTCTAGACTAGACGACTACTACTACCATTCCGTTATTCTGATATCTATTGAATACCTCGATTTGCGGATCGATATTATTGTATGAAAAATTGAAAATATAAATACTTATGTTGCACAAGTAAACAACAGTTCTTGACTTGTACCACACGCAATTGCGGACATGCAATAAGCGTCTGAATATGGGTTTTTATTTTTTTAATTAAGTTTGTTACAATAAATAAAACAGGCTTAGTGCCATATGTATATACATAGAGCATACAGTTGATATGCCGAGTACGTTCTACTAACTAACCTCGACCTTGTTGGGTATATTCGGTAACGTGTAGACGAAGCAGACGGCTGTATATTTGGTTGATATGCCAGTGAATATAGGTTACCTACCTGTCCAGGTCCGCGCCGTGTGGGAGCGGTGTCGGCCGAGTTACGAACTACACGTGTCGACTGACCTAAGCGTAGTTGTTCCACACACCGGTTACGTTAAATATAGCTGACATATTATGTTCTTGTTGCTGTCAACTTAGTAGTCGATATGTTAATATATTCATTACACGAGATTTGAAATATCACGTGCTTAAAGTCTCCAAATGTTTACGCAGGAATGCACATATTTAATACTAGCTACCTTCACGCGGTTTCATCTGCTGTTTGGCTCCTTCTGATCTTAGCTTGATGTTTTATAACCTATAGCACTCTAAAACATTGTAGCTATCTATCAGTGAAATAATTTTGGCAATCCGACCAACGGTTCCAAAGATAACCCCCTACATACAAACTTACAAGTTACAAATGTTACTCTTTAAAATTAGTAGCTTGCTCGTAATGCCGCCCGTAGTCAGACTCTTCCTCAGGATTCTTCCTTCCATACTATTCGCGAAACTCGTGCAAAAATCCGTACCATAGATGGTACATATTTATCGTGTTCATACAGACAAACGCAAAACTTCTTGATAAGGATTTGACACCTTATTATCACGTACCTATGGCATACCAGTGCTACATATTAATTTAAAAAAGTAATTCACCTTGTTAACATTTCGGTGGAGGTTGCTTTCAGAAACTAGATTTAAAGGAATTCAGAGTGAGTGTTGTCAGGTGAAAGGAGTGTATGTTAAGGTCAGTGGTCGGCGTGGTCACAGCATGGTGTAGGACCTCGGTAGGAAGGAAATGTATTTGATTGACATTATCAGCGGAATGTTTCTACCGCCTGATCGGTGTATTTATGGTACTATTCTTGACGCCACCGCCGGAGAGATTTACGCATATGTGATGTAATGCAATGTAATGTGCTTGTGAAATGCAATCGCTGGGTGGAAATGGCAAATTCTATTAATAATAATCACATAAACTTGTATTTAATATATACATTTGCTCCATTATTAGTATACCCATCAGCATCCTTAAACCCCAAGCGCCGCGCTCAGCGTAGGCAGAATTTGACTTAGGTCCTCCTGTCGCAGACGCAGTATTCGCGTTGTGGCTGATGATGTGTTCCGTGTTGCAGGTTGCACGAGGAGATCGAGCACTTCTACCTGTACATGTCCCCGACGGAGACAGAGCACCTGGTGCGGTCGACGGTGGTGAACCGCATCCGCGGCGCTATCATGGCGCTGTGGCCGCAGGCACGGGTCGAGGTGTTCGGCTCGTTCCGCACCGGCCTGTACCTGCCAACCAGCGACATAGACCTTGTTGTCATCGGTGAGTTCAGTGAGTCCCTTTCCACAGAATGTTCTATTTCGCCACTGAAGTTGGCCCATCTTGGCTAAAACTTTTTATTGTATAAAAACGCTTATTTTTGTTCATTTTTAAGCCAAGTCAGTCGCCATGAAACTTATTTTACGGGTAGTTGGCAAACTATCTGATGGTAAGCCATCGGTGTAGCCCATGGACGCCTGCAACATTGAGGAGTTACCTGCGTTGGTGTTTTAGAATTGGTGAATTTAGGGACTGAAAATGGAGGGGAAGACTCCAAGACTTTTATCAGAAGGAGTTCCTTACACCTAGAGGATAGAGAAGTCTGAGATGATTGAGTAGAGTTAGGGATAGTAGTTGATGTAACGACAGCAGTATCTACTCACTACATGGGGGCAACTCGTCGCTTTCGTCCCGTCGTCATTACATTATTGAGAAAGTACAACGTGTGCGCTAATGGATCGCATATCGTGTGTGCACCCAATCTGCAGTACAACCTAATCACAAGACGTGTGTAACGCGCTCGCGTCGTGTTAAACATTGCTAGTCAGATGACCAAGGATGAGCTCTTACTTCATGTCTAGAATGAGATATTGTGATACTATAGTCATAAACCATTTGTTACTGCAAGGCGGAAGGACTGCCTGCCTTCCTTACGATCAACTGGTGTCCGGTGAGCTCTATGTGCCGACTAGACGGCGCGCTCGTAAAGCCGCCGCAAGGCCGCCGCCGAGTGCGGGTATAGTGTGACGGCAGCCGGTTTCACTATCACCCGCGCAGATACGGCTATGATATCTACAAACTCACCAAGCTTATCTCATACTTAATAATATTATAATCACCTGATAGGTGCCGGATTCATAATTACTTAGAAGTGTAATCCGAGGATCTGCACTCTTTGTAATTATCGTATGGTACTATTTAGTAAAACAATGTCGTAATGTTATCCTTATAAAATGGTTGTATGAAGTAAGAGCCGCGGCGCGGTCTGTCAGCCGAGTGCGGTGTGTGCCGCCGCGTTTGTTGAACCCCGCCCACGTGCGCCCGACCTCCGGCAGCTCGCGATAGTGTTGACTCGATACCTGTACGTGTGCAAATAACACTCATCAATTAACTATATTGTACATGTACCACATATCTACGTCTGACAGTCCGCAAATTATCACTAGACTAATTAATTCGGTTTACATTAGCACGGCCCTATACTTAGATGAATGAGTGATGATGTATTGGCGAATCACGAAACGGGTCCATATCTTGTCTTTTCTCTGGACAGCAGTAGGTTTGATATAGCTAAATGATAGTCGCATGGCAATGTCCATCCCATTGATGCAGTTTGTTGTATTGTATTGGAGTAGTGCGGCCCCGGCCAGTTCGTGTGTACTAGAAATAGTGGGCGCGGCTATTTCGGGCGGGCACTTGCAGCGCGACCTCGCCCCGCTGTAATGCAATATCTGCACTCTCTCGTACTACACCACACTGCCTAGACAATACACATCCGTTTTCCGACTAGCCTGTAGGAAGCACTTTATTACGTGGGGCAGGCGACACTTTCAGTTGTGTTTCCTAAAAAGACGTTCAGAAGTTCCAATCGACAAAACATATTACGTCGTGAAGTTATGTCATTCCTAATGGTTAGTTAGTAAATCTTTAGGTATTGTTGATCCAAGTTTCATTTTATTGCGTTCCTAGCAATGGTCGCACGTGTCCGCTGGCTGGTATCGTTAGCTACAGTATGACATAATGTGTAGTGTGACGTGTTCGCTCAATGCGCCAGTCTGTCATGAATGTCTAGAGCGCTGAAATATTACCAGAACACACAGCCGTGTCCTGTGTAGCTGTGGCGGTGCGCCGGCGCCGGTATTAGTGTAATTGTCGGACTTTATCGACGCGCGTACTTTTGGTGGACTTATCGCAATGGTACGTGATCTAATTTAATATGAAGCGTATGAAGTGCAGGTGTGGTGACGCGGGCGGTTACTGTTGCAGGTCAGTGGGAGAAGTTACCTCTGTGGACGCTGGAGCGGGAGCTGGTGGTGCAAGACATTGCTGAGAAGGAGAGCATCAAGGTGCTGGAGAAGGCCACCGTCCCCATCGTCAAGATGACAGACAAATACTCCGACGTCAAGGTAAACCCGCCGCAACTTGCAAACACATTGTTGCTAATTCACTACAGCTGCAGCCTCTGGCGGTTACAAACAGAAAGTAGTATAATGTTGATGCTTGCTTGGTGCTCCAGGTGGATATATCGTTCAACATGAGCAGCGGAGTCAAGAGCGCGGAGCTCATCAAGCAGTTCAAGGTGAGTCCGCGGCCGGCGCATGCGCGCGTGCTAGTACTGTGTACTGGCCTGTGACTGGTGCTACATGGCGCGTGGCGTGTTGCAGGAGAAGTACCCGGTGCTGACGCGGCTGGTGATGGTGCTGAAGCAGTTCCTGCTGCAGCGCGACCTGAACGAGGTGTTCACGGGAGGCATCTCGTCGTACTCCCTCATCCTCATGTGCATCAGCTTCCTGCAGCTACACCCGCGCCCCGAGCGCCTGCGCCAGCCGCACAACCTGGGCGTGCTCCTCATCGAGTTCTTCGAGCTGTACGGCCGCAAGTTTAACTACGTCAAGACTGCCATCCGAGTCAAGAACGGAGGCTCTTATGTCTCCAAGGACGAAATACAGAAGGTACGCCTCGCTGCCGCATCGAGCGCTGACCGCGGCCTGCGAGCTGACATTGTAATGAGTTATCTGTGCGCAGGAGATGAACGACGGACACCGGCCGTCGCTCCTGTGTATCGAGGACCCGCTGACGCCAGGCAACGACATCGGGCGCTCCAGCTACGGAGCGATACAAGTGAAGCAGGTGAGTGCGCTGCGAGCCATGCCTGGGCGGACAGTGGGCGACCGTGGGCGTAGAGTGCGGGACTGAGGGCGCGCTGCTTGCAGGCGTTCGACTACGGGTACATCATCCTGCAGCAGGCCGTGGGCGCCCACAGCGCGCTGCTGGCGCGGCACAGCGTGCTCGGCCGCATCGTGCGCGTCACGGACCACGTGCTGCAGTACCGGCGCTGGGTGCGCGACACCTTCGAGTCCTACTTCTTCCCGCTGCGCCGCGCGCATCTGTCCTCGCGCGAGCCCTCGCCCGAGCCCTCCGACAGCGAGCCGGTACGTCATTATACCATCCGTCTTTTCCGTTACTCATTACTCTTCAATTATTCATTTTAATATACATTGTGTGTTTGCTGTAGGAGTGGTCGGACAGTGGGTCTCGCGCGGCAGGTAGCCCGCCCATCATCGCGGCAGTAGCGGGGCCCGCGCCCCCTGGCGCGCCCGCGCCTCCCGCGGCCGGCGGTAGGACCTCGCCGCCGCCCCTGTCGGCGCTGCAGTGCTCCTCGCCCACGCCGCGGCGCGTGTCGGCGCACCAGAGCCTGATCATCCACCACATCACCAGCAACTCGGACTTCAACAACATTCCGAGCCTCGCCCGCTCGCGCCGCGCCACGCGCGCCGAGCCGGAGGAGCTGAACGCGGGGGCCGCGCAGCGGTACGGCGACGGCGGCGCCAAGGCGCGCAACCAGCGCTCGTTCTCCATGAAGCAGCGCCGCTACTCGTCCCCGCCCGGCGCGCCCCGCTACCGCGCGCCGCCCGACCGCCACAAGAAGCGGCGCGGCGCGCATGCGCACCACGCGCAGCCGCGCTCATAGCGCCAGTGGCGGCCCTGGCCGGCACTACGCGCGACCCGGCCCTGGCCGGCGCAGCGCGCCCCGCGACTCGCGCGCCCCCAGCGACACAACACGCCCGTCGACTACTACGCCACCTCGCACCGGGAACCGTACTCTGCATTACCGCTATTTACGGAATACTGAACTACTCGGCACGACATTGTTTCACCCTGTTCAAATTGTAGTTCCTAATTAACGTTCAGTTTCCAATAGACTGTAATAATGTTGGTGCAATTGGGCAGTAACATGAACGACACCCAAGTATTGTGTCATTCGTGTCACTATTTAAAGCAACGTAACCAAACCGTCCACCTCCCGACAGCTAGATGATCTCAAAATAGTAATTGCCGTAGTACAGCAGGCAGTAGATACATTCCCCTTGGGTGCGCGGTCAGTGGTCGCGAGCGGTGTGGGTGCAGTGGGCGAGTGGTCCCCGAGGTGGTGGAGAGTGGCCAGGACGGTGGCACCGCAGTCCCGGGCGGGGCGGCCCGCGCCTGCCGCGGTCCGTCCCGCCCGCGGTCTCTGCTTAGCGTAGTCGGACGTACCTGTAGCGTCTCATGACTCATGATATCTTATGAATATCCATGTAATGTAATGTCGGTATATAACTACGTAGCGCTGTCGCTAAGACGAGTACAACTGTCTAGTTTAGTGTTCGCGTGCAGGTCGCGGCCTCCTCATGTATTGTTCTTCAGGTTCTAGCAGCTATAATATTACTAGTACGTATGACTTACGCAATATCTTTTAAAATGGAATACTTCTGCCTTATCTACCATATTAGTTAAAATGCATTAAAAAGTAAATACAACGAGTCCGTGAGTACAGTACAGCGATGCAGCGATGTGGCTGTATTGCGACCTCTGGTGGCGGCTTGTACTAATAATATTATTCCCAATCCTGTACAAATATACTAAGTTCATGTCGGTTACCTGAACATGGCTCCGCTACACAGGGCGAGCACTGCCTCGCCGCTGTCTAGTCTGCGCTAGTGCCACTATCGTTTTAGAGTTCGCCAGACATGTAAGCTACAATGTGATTGTATAGTGGGTGACTTAATGATGTCCAGACAATCGCCAAGACGAACAGGCAGCAAGCGCGGAAAGCACACTATTGATATCGTAAATAAAAATTAGCTACAAAGTGAATATACATATTTGTAAAATAGTGAGTAAATGTATTCCACTGGGAAAGACATATTTATTGACCGACTGGTCGCTCGCGAGTTGTCGTCCCGAGACTCCGGGTCGCGATACAATATTATTGAATGAACTCTTGAAGCATATTTATGCATATATTACGATCGGGAGTAATATGACAGGGCGAGACGATGCGTATGTCGTTAAGGTCTCCAGCCTCGCCTCCTAGTGACGCGATCATATTTATTATATTTATTGATCTATCGACTGTTATGTTTGATTTGTTAGTCAGACTCGTAGAATCATGTGAAGTGAATGGTTAACTTGTTACATTGTGCAGTACAAACGTATGTCGAGTTAGCGTAAGGTAGGTTACAGGCTCGAGTGACGGCGCCGGCCGTGTCGGGAGCATCGACTGTGATTAACTCGTACTCGTAGATAATAAATACATAGATAGCTGATATATTTTCCTACAGTTTCGTTTCTGTGATTAAATTATAGTACTTACAGGTGTTGATCGGTTTGTGAAATGATCAGCTCGAAGTAGACAAAGCAATGCGCTGGGAGTGTTATCCCAGGTCTACCATTATTGATACCGGTGACGAGAGATGCCCAGTGACACGGCTTTTCGTGATATTCTGACGACTGTATTCTGCGATAGTATCCTGATTAATCTGGAGCAGGAATAACTATTTTATTCTAATCTCATAATATATTTAACATTGTGTCTGTACTGTGTATTGGTAACCATCGATGTAAACGGATTGACATAACTGTACAGCTCGCGGTAATTACCTACTACGGTACCAGTATACTAAATGGATATAATTAATAAAAAAGTTATGCCGAGCAATTCCTTGCACCTTTGTTTTGATTGATTTTGTTATTGAATTCTTAGATTTACTGTATGATTTTATTATTGTTCTAGATTCAATTAGAATTTAGTAAATTTTGTTGATGTTTGTGCAGCATTTTGTTTGCGTGGCTCGCACGTTTAGCTAATTATACATCGCGTTCGTATACAGCGGCGCCAGCGCTGTCATTGTTTCGTTATGTTTGTCGCGACTACGTGTACCTGTGGCACTCTGAGTCCGCGCTGGGCTCCGGCCCAACCGACACTGCGGGGCCGAGTTATGTTCACACTAGGATAATTGAGTGCTTTACCTAGCAATAATTTGTTAACGTTAGTTTAATGCACCGGCCACGACATATCGTAGTTTTGTTGATTATGTTGCGCGGACCGACCGTAGCCGTCGGCCGTATGTAGCTTGTTCGAATTTCTTTCCATGTAATTGTTTGTAAACTACAGTAGACAATAGAATGGGCGACATGCCCTAGTGCTCGAGCCAGGTCCCAGCTCTAGATCGTCATGCTCACTATATGTCTCGGCGGGACGGCTCGGGCCGCGGGGAGTGCACGCCACTCTCTGCGAGTGTTCACTACTTGTTCTGGATACAGCATATTGTATTATTTCTATTGCAACTGTTTAACTAGACGATCGAGTTCGGCCGCCATCTTGTATGCAAGTATAACATAATAACGCCAATGTTTTGATAAAAAAGTAAAAATACATAAAATAAGAATAAATAAAAATGATATTACATAACGAGTGAACTAAACGATGTACGAAAGTAGGTTATAATATATCTGGCGCTGCGAGTCGCTCGTATTTGTATGAGCAGTAAGGTTTATGTTCGCGCGGCTACGGAAGAATGCATTTATCGAGTAGGTTGAGTGGGCTGCCTGCGAGCGACTGGCCGCGCCGGCTGTAGCGTAGAGTTGTTTGTATATCTGTCTATTTAAGTACGTAGCATAATGTTAGTGTAACGAAGCATTGTACATACGGTCGCGCGGACGACACACATGTACATACACGCCTGTATATACCATGTAAATACACTCGAGATATATATTTAATATTAATATAAATTTGATTTAAAGAACGTTTTAAAAATAAATTAATAAAAACACAAAAAAATAAATAAAGACATACAGTGAGTATGAAGTGGAAAAAGCGATTTTGTCTTTTATTTACTATTTACCCCTCTGTAATTACTAATTAGTACATTATTGGTATGTGATGGATATTACAGCGCGACTGCTTGTAAAAGGTATAATTTCTGAAGCGAATTTTGGTGCAATGCAAATTTGTCCTTAATCAGTGGGTACTTTGAAATAAGATACGAACCGAGCATTGACTTGCAATTCCCACATGGCAATGGCAACGTCTTGTAACCTCTGTCTTGTTCCGGCAGTCAATGGGCGGCACCTATTGCCATCCTGCGAAAATTATATCCATAATACGCAAAATCCTCTAAACATTTGGCGAGTTGACTACACGATATACATTTTTTCTAGGACCTTCAGACCATATGTGACACTTTACAGCAAAAAAGGTCAAGAACATTCCAGTTTCCAAGAGATTACAATCCGGATGGATGTGGATCCGTGTAACACATCCAGTGCCCCCGACGCGTATGTGCGTTTCCTTACGCTACTCTGTGTGCCCTCGACGCACAGGTGCGCTCTATACATTAATGTATAGAACACACAGAGTAGCGTAAGGAAACGCACATACGCGTCGGGGGCACTGGATGTGAATGTAGTATTGAACACTACGTTAATACGGAATTACAAGCCGGATTCTTCAAAATTTGAAAATGACGGAAGGAAAAGAACCTGTTTTCCTGATTTCTTTAAATAATTGAATAGTTTTTTACAACTGAAGACCGGTTCTTTCGAATTTCAGTAAAACTTTAATGAATACTTCGTATTTATCTACAAACTCTCATTTTAAGTTATCTGAAAGGAGTGGTATTAGGTGAGCAGCAGCAGTCCTGTTAGGTTTGGGTTGATGAAATAAAACTAAGTTTATTTATCAAATAGCAGAGGTGGAATTTATTATTATACTTTAGGAGGTGTGTGTTTCCTGAAGGCGTTAGCAGAACCGAATGAGGGCGAGATGCAAACATCTCAGTGAGGATTAGCTGGCCACTTAAGGCACTTATAATAGTGGTGTGAGAATAATGAGTAGGTTGATTGAGTTTTGTCATTCCAACAGCTTTCAGCCGCGGTAGGTAATTCGAGACACAATAGAAGAGCAATAAGTACGCAAACGCTGGCGTTCGCTTGGGGTTTGGATGTTTGATGAATCAAATAAAAGAGCAGGATAATTGTATTTTGCTGTGCCTGGAGCGGACTTAACATCACCATTTCTCTATTCGTGTCTATTTTATACAACACCTGTTCGCTTCGTTAAAATAGATTCATCACTGTAGAGTAGGAAGACCTAAACACCAATAGGTATAGATAATAATTTAGACTGCACGGTTGGTGCGGTGGCTGGGCAACAGGCTGCCGTGCAACGTGTCGCGGGTTCGATTCCCGCACGGAACAACACTTTGTGTGATCCACAAATTGTTGTTTCGGGTCTGGGTGTCATGTGATCCACAAATTGTTGTTTCGGGTCTGGGTATCATGTGTATGTGACATTGTATGTTTGTAAACGCACCCACAACACAGGACAAAATCCTACAGTGGGGCAACGTTTTTTTTAAAAAAATATCATCATAGCTTTTTTCGCTCTCGCTCCGCACCGTGGCTTCGACTAAGACCTGGCGCGAAGCGAGGCGGAAGGCGAGGACGCTTTGGCATCTCTCAAACCACTCCTCAAAAAGGGGTCTTACCGCTGCTATAGCAGCGTGCCCGGCCCTCAGTTGCGACAGACGTTGCTTGCACTCTGCCATAAGATCGCGCCGGAGTTCATTCCGCCACGCAATAATTTGGCGCGGCAGAGGAACCTCTCCCGGGCGATGCACGCGCGTATGCGCGTAAACTGTAGACGCGCGCGAGCTCCATCGGTCGGCTAGGTAAGTCTAACATCACAGTAACATGATTTTTTCTTATTAAAAACTCTGCCCAAAGACCATATACTATGTATGTATAGGTATATAATCAGTGTATTGCCAGATATTATGATGTACGTGGTCCTAGACTTTTGGCCTACTCGATACACACAACCAGTCAGTGAGCGACGAAGAGCTATGTTCAGAATTTCATTTGTCGTTAATATCTGAAATATGGGAACTAATCGAATAACCAGAGTGACCGCTATAATAGCTATTAAAAACTGCAAACTGATATGGCAATGAGTAAGCCAGCCGACTTATTCATACAATTTTATTTATGTCCTAAGTAGGTAGACGAGGTGACGGATTACCTGATGTTAAGCAATCCGCGCCGCCCATGGACACTCGTAATACCAAAGGAGTTACCACAAGTGCGATGTCGACCTCTTGTACGTTATGATAAGATTTAATTAAGGTTAGGGGCTTTGAGGAATGAGGAGGGGGAGGATTGGGCCCCAGTACCTAATCTCACTCATACGGCGAAACACAACGTAAGTGTTGCTTCACGCCAGTTTTTGGTGAGGCCGTGGTATCACTCCTATCGAGCCGGCCCATTTGTGCCGAAGCATGACTCTCCCAGCATTCAGCACCTTAGCACGAATATTATAAAAATGTATGCTATTTTACGCAATTTTTATCACACCTAAAAAAATCGAATAAAATTCGTCAGTATTGAAAAACCCGTTTTTTTGCCACCCCTATTATACAATGGATGTGTAGATACTTGCTGTATTGCGGTAGAGTGCTACACAGTCCATCGTACGCTCGTGCTCGTAGCGCTACGCCTCGTAGCATACCCATATTGTCTACGTCGTAGCTGTAGCCACGCGAATCAGGAAACTACTACAGTTTTCTGTGGGCGGAAAGTATTTAGAGTGTGAAAAGTAGTTTGTGAGCGTAACCTTATTGTTGTAGTGTCAGATTCAACATGTTTAGAAACTGTCGATTCGGGGGAAACGGAAAAAACAGCATTCATTATCCAATCATCATCATCATCATCATCATCAGCCCATAAGTGCCCACTGCTAAGTAAAGGCCTCTTCTCAGACGGAGAAGGTTTGGGCCTTTAATTTTAGTGGTGTAACGTATCCTTGTGGATAAAAACTATCCACAAGGATAGGTTACACCACTAAGATAAAAACTTCTTGAAACACAACGAAAGTATGCATGCTATTGAAATCACAACTAAGTCATTACTGAAAAGTCACGATACATGAACATACGTACATTTATGTTTGTGTGTATTGTGATATGTATGGATGGCAATAAGGCAAGAAAGAGCTGGCGGGCGCGGGGCGTCAGTTCAGCCACCTCTCACACTCGCTCGGAGGTCGGAGGCGCGGCTTGTAATAATATTAGAAGTTCTTAATAGTTAAACCCAATAATACAATGCAACTCAACTCACTAAAATAATGATACACCAAATAAATAAATATGTATCAAATATACATTAGATATACTTAGATACTTTAATCGACTACGTAGTTGTAAGTGAGTAATCCCCAAATCTCCTATCCTTATATCCCTAATGACCTACAAAAGCCCGACAACAAACAAATAACGAGTGTCTATGAGCGCTGCTGATTGCTGATAATCAGGGGATCCATTTGCCGACCTGTAATCCATAAAAAAGCAGAAGTGAATTGCGAGCGACCCTAACTCATTTTTCTCAAAATATGTACATATGTACATAACTCAAATATGTACACATAGACCTATGGCATTCGTTACATTGCAACTCAGTGTTCATTTTTTTAGCTACAGAAGAATATAAACACTAGTTTAGGGAATGTTATGATTAAAGAATAGCGAGTAGGTAAAAGCTGTACAGTAAGCTTGGTGATCATGCCTGGCGGTTACTGCCCAACAGCAGTACGTGGGATTGCCCATCGGTGTTCAATCCCGCGCAAACGTCTCTTGGGTGATGTGTGATGTCAATCTTGAAACAATATTTTTTGGACCACACAATGTGTTGTTTTGTGCAGAAATCGAAACCGCGAGTAAGCTTTCGGGTGGCTTACCTACCATGCAACCGAACTAATATGCGACACAGCCAGGAGTAGGAAAAGGGACGGGGTAAATCTTAGTCAATAGGAGTCTGAAACGCTTAACGTGCTTACAGAGGTAAGCCTACTACGCCTACCTACACTAAGTGTGCCTACTATGTTGCACAGTTATGTCGGTGAATACGTACCTACGTATCCAACCTTGAACAGTCACAATGGACTTTGCAGGTGCAATCCAACTCTTTAAATGTGAGGCATATTATCAAAGTGATGTCAAACGGGAAGCCTCTCACAGCGACGCACACTGAAAACGAACAACGTTAAAAAGTGAACGAGATACTAGGGACACTCATCGCAACTACACTACATCACTTGCTTACTTAACTACTCACCCTTATCGCAACGGAATAAGGCCGAAAATCGATTACGTTACGTTTTAAGCAATCTGCGACATAAGAGGGTAGTTGTAAAACGCATGCGCGAAGCGGCGTAAACACTGTCGTGTCATCAGTCGTACGGCGGTTGCCGGCGCGCTCGGACGTTGCGCGCCTTTATAAATAGTGACAGACGCGACGCGTGTGTTGTGGTGAATTGTTTCAATCACATTTAATAAGACGTTTGTGCACAAATAAGGAAAGAACTTGGGAGTGATTTGTACGGTGAGTAGCAAGAGAATGTTTTAATAAAAACCGAGCCACAGCGTTGCGTCCGCTGTATCAGGTTGTGACCCGGTTTTTGAAATAAAAATAAATTTCCATTTTTTTTGCCTCGCCACGTGCGAGGGGCGCCTTGCAACCTGTACCCTTCCAGTCTGGCTGGCCGGCGAGCCAGAGGTCAGCCGATGGTGGATTTATTTAGATTTACGTAACAATGGGTTTGGTAGCGTCGATGAGGCGCGTGCCGGCGGCCGGCAGTGCGCCACCATGGCTACACTTTATTTTCGCAACATGAACAAAGGGTTAAGGTCGTTTAATACGATAATTTTCTTTACAAAACATTTATTGTGTTCTAACATTCGGCTTCTATGTTTATACAGAGTATGTGACTAAAGACTTCATTACGTCAGTTTGTGTTGTTGCTATCCATAAAGCAAATTAACACAGC